ACCGGGTTTAAGCAGGTCGGTTATGTACCGCTAAAAAAAGTCGCTGAAAGTACTGACCCCTGAGGGATTAATACCGAACTGGTCAGACGAGCTGCCATCGACGACTACTCGTATTGTCCGATCGCTCAGGAAGTCTGTTATCCATCTGCACAGATCAGCAAAAAGTCCGTATGCAGAAAGCTTGCCGAAAAGACTATGTTAAAAGATTTTATCCCATTCTCGAAGTAGTTTTTCGAGGAACAACTCTACTGGAGGAGATAAAACCAAGGCCTCACAGAAAACTAGTATAACTACTTTAGCATTGTATTCGGCCCAAACTATTCCTGTAACCGAAGGCTAGCAATTTGTAACTCATCTAATGTCTAAGGTTTCCATGCGTTTGGTATTAATCCCTGACCATTACCATGATCGAAGTGTTCGTTTGCACCTATCATATAAAAATTACGAATGTCTAGAGCTTATGCTGATTTCTTACCATCAGATGCACCAAGTACTCGTTTCCTCCCTTTCTCTTAAAAATAATGCGTGGATTATCTATTCAAGTGTTCATAGCTTAATTAATATACGTACTTACAGATGGACGAAGACAAAAGCCAAATGAAAAACCAAATACGGATTCGGAATCAAGGATTCTGCCGAAACCCATCGAAGCTAAATTTTTCGACGAGATGCTGAACTGCAATGAACTGCAGGAACAAATTGTTGAAAGTGCTACAGTTAAGGAAGAAACTAAAAAACCAGTTAAAGGTAATAATGATAATGGACAGACAAGTTGATAAAGTTAATTATTATGTTTTCGACTTACTCACGTGTCTGTTTGACGAGGAAATCGCAAGACTACTAGGCCAATTAGGAAGGAAGGCAGTGGAAACAATCGTTTTTCTTCTTCTCCTCTTATAATATCTTCTGATTCACTTCGTTGCGGAACCAAGACAGTTACTCATGTCCCTGGGATGTTGGACTTCAGTGTTCCGGTATTTTCATGGTTGTGAGGTTATGGCGGACTTATCCCATACTAGGCCAATTAGACAAATGTTTGGCTATAACTATTGAATAACTAATTATCATACTATTATTCTTCTAGCCAAACCTAACGTGATGATTAAAACAATCATAGACATATCGTCATTAGCCAATGAGAAAGGAAAGGAAAACGACACTAAGTAAGTATCTATTAAAACCACATTTATTACAATAGTCACAAAGTTGAAAGTTCTGCTGACGACAAATGCGCCTTCATTAAATATTTTACTCAATTTTTTTCACTAATTCTCTTTGTCTTCTTAGACTGTGAACTCTATGTGAGGAGAGTATGATAAACTCCTCATTATGTTTTACTTCAATTATAAAACAGTTACTTCTATAATATCTCAAATATTCAGGACCATACTAAAATTGTTAATTACTTCTTATTAATTTCAGATCATTAAAAGATAACGTAAAAGGCGTTATAGAACTCGTATATAATGGCAAAACAATAAAATTCACTCGACCAGACATAGAGGTATTACAACCAACCCCACCGAAACTACCAACTCAACCAATAATTCAACAACCAAAAGTGTCACAACCACCAACAATAATACCAGAAACAACAACTCCAAAAGTTAATAACGATTTCAATTCAGTACCGAAGTCGTATTTAAATAAATTCATCGAGGAATACTTCAAAAGGTACCCAAGAGTTAACTTGAAAGATTCCAACAATGAAATGAAAGGCCACTTTGAATCGAAACGTTCAAAAAGAAATGTGAGAATCAAATACGATGGACATCCTAAAACAATGGCAAAAGAATCAGTTAAAAACACTGAAGACGATGATTTATATGTCGAAATAGAAACTCATTTTGACAGTAAAGGTTTAAATGGTGAGAAAAAAAAGAAATTAATCAGGACTATAATAGAAAAGATACAGAAAGCTATACACACTGATATGAAAGGTAAACTTATAACTCCAAAAAGAGATCCAACCAAAATAAGGCGAGTACATTTCAAAAAACGTCTCCAAGATCCGTTAGACCACAAAAGTAATCACGTCCTTGTAAACAAGTTCAGTTTGCCGTTGAAGAACCTCTTCCATCGTCAGCTGAACCCTATCAGCAAGACAGTCCCGATGCAAGAGAGCTCACCGTACATTGGTTCGAAGTCTGGAGAAGAATGGAAGAAACCGTGTTTTGGACCTCATTTCCTAGCTGCTAATAAAGCCATAAATTCAGCAGAAATGAGCCAAGTAGATATTGATTATAGTAAAATTTTAGATATAAATGGTATACCTCAGAGATTACAACAGCCTTTGAATACAGAAAATAGTGAAGAAAGTCTAAATACGAATTCTTTTTATGATGTCGGCAAGATGAAGTTTTTTATCAAAGACATTGACGGCTCTGGCTTCTCAGTAGGTTTTAATCAATATGTTGATGAGCCGCCAGACCCAGATACCATGAGGCTGTTTACAGGGTTAGAAAATGTTATAAAAACGTACCATCAGACTTATGATCCCTTACCTGAAGCAACACAAACGACTACCACAACAGAAGCTAATATAAAACTAGAAATTGCTCCGATGTCAATAAGAAATACAGACCATAACATAGAAAGGAGATCTGTACACAAGAATCAAGATTATCATTCCAATGAGTACAAAATTATTTACGATAATAATTTCATGCCATACCGTAATTATAGGGACATATTCGAATCCAACAAGATCCAACCACGCTCCAAACTAGGTTTTACATCTCAGAAACACTTAAAACTTCCACTAATCGTTGACGAAACTGTCTTCGATAAAAATTTGAAACCAGCCGAAATATTTGGTCTGGCTAACTTATTTGAGAGAAAGAAAAGGTCTGTAAATGTGAAGAAAATATCGGATTTGAAAAACAAAATCAAGTTGAATAGGTATTTGAATACAAATGCTATGCCAACGAAGCGAATTTATTTAAATAAGAAGAGGAATAAAAGACAGATAAATAAGATAAGGATCATAGCAACAGATTTACCTCACATGTCTAAGCATTCCGATGAAAACGTTTTCGTAGTGTCAGATGAGAATGTATTTGCTGACAGAGCAATCGTGAAAGATATAGAAACTTCAGAAGGCGAACACGATAAGCAAGAAGACTCTGATTATCTACCCTACCAAAACGAAGACAGTATGCCCTCGACTTACATCACAAAAATATTCGATGGACGCTCAAGACATAACCCATTAATGTCTAAATATCCACACGTTTTTATGGAGGAAATTTCTCGGTCCAGGGAAGAATTTATTCCTAACAATGCTCTACTCTTCGGCAAAATCCCTGGTCTTTCCACACTAAGACACAGTTTTGATGTAGATAAAACAGATGATAAAATTGACGGAGAAAATTTGACCGTCCTCAATACTACAGATGCACACAAGAACATGAAAGATGATGAAATCGTTGACTCTTTAATTCCACCACCTAACAGAGGTAATTATAAAGTAACAGTTAAAATAATTCCTAAAAACCAAACAGGATTGAATTCAGGATTCAAAGAAATACACACAAGTATTAATAAGAGATACAACAAAAATGGCCTGCTCTATTCATCTTTAGTAAACGTATCAGAAATATCTAAGGTAATTAAACTGAACCGGACAAAAGAAGAAATAGACGCAGACTGGAGGCATGTAAGCCGTGGAGGACAAAACAACGACTACTTTACAAAAAGAATAAAAGATCAACAAGATAGAATGTCTTTTCTTTTAAAGCAACATGCTAAACATATAAACGAACAACTGACTAGACTTAATGAAGAGAAGATTAATCTAGAATCTTTGTTAACTAATGACAATATAACTGAGATTAAGTATTCAGATTATGATGACGCTGGAACTCCAAAGCCTTATTTACCAAAGTTACTAGCAAAAAGAATTCAAGGCAACAGTGCTGAAGAGGAGCCGAAAGAAGAAATAACAACTACAACTCGAAAGCCAAGGACTACTAGACTAACAACAACAACTACATTACCGACTACGACAACGTTGACAACAACACAACAGCCGATAATACAACAAACATTCTCAGACAAAATAAAGAAGAACATCATTAACACTATAGAAAGAAACGGTAACCTAACAGATCAAATACTAAGAAAAATCGACAAAAACACGGAAATATTGCAGATATTTTTGAGAAAATTGACGGAAAAAATACAAGTTACTACAACCACTTCAACTACATCGAAACCAGTGGCGAGATACGGTGAACCTTTTAATACAGAATGGACGAACCAGGCGGACCATTTTAATCAGAATATAGTCATGAAAAGGAATGATTCGCAAATATCAATTCCATTCGTGTATGCGTATCAACAACCATTAATGCCTCATACAATCAATGCGCCGGTCGCCAGCGTAGTCTACCATGGACATATACATACAAATACAATACACCCAAAAGATTTACAAATGGATAAAGAAAAAATGAAAATGGACTCCAATAATCAGACGAGGTTTTTTATCGATGAACTGGAAAATGATTACAAGGTCATTCAAGTTGGTGATGTTAAGAAAAATAGGGATTTCATAACAAATTTGGTTAATTCTAATAGCACTATTGTGACTTGAATTTTGATTTCTTTTTGTGCGTCTGTATAAAGAATTAGTGCGATTTTTTTATTTATTACTCTTGTTAAATTTTTGACAAATAAAATAAAATGTATTTTTCAATTTGTGTTGTTCATTTATTGCTGATTTTTATACCCAGCAGGCACTTGTTAGTTATGTTATGATATAAATTCAATAGATAATTTACAATTCCACAAAAGAAAATGTTCAAATTGAACCAGAAGTGTTTAACCGCTTGAATATTTTTTTTATGAGATAAGCCAGTAAACGAGCAGTCGATCACCTGATGGTAAGCAATCGGCGTCGCCCATGGACACCTGGAACTCCGGAGGCGTTACTAGTGCGTTACCGGCCTTTTGGGATTCCCAAACGATTTGTAACGCCGGCCCATTCGTGCCGAAGCATGGCTAACACAACACAAGCGTAAGTTGTGTTTCGTTGGTGATTTTCTGTGAGGCAGTGGTATCTCTCCGGTCGAGCCGGCCCATTCATGCGGCAAGTACATTGGGAACTGCAAACAAATAAACACCCCGCGGGCGTAAAACGCGTCGTGAAATATGCTTAAATGGTTTTACATACATATATCTGCAATCTACAAAGGCTGCGGGCCCACAACCGCGGGCAATCGCTTCGTGACTCCTTAGCCTTAGTCGGCTCCGGAGGTTATACGCCGGGGTCGTGCGGTCCATGGCCCTCTACGGCGCCCCTGTTTGGGCGCCAAACCTGTTGCGGCGTCCCGCTCGGACGCTGCTCATGGCACAGAGGGTCATGGCGATCCGAATGATCCGCGGATACCGCACGATCTCTGGGGAGTCGGCGAACCTCCTTGCCGGATTACCGCCGTGGGATCTGGAGGCGAAGGTGCTCGCGCGCGTGTACAGCATGCGCGCGGAGGCACGTCGCCGGGGCGAAACCCCGCTGCCGCGCCAGATAGGTGCGTGGCGGGATGAGCTCCGGCGCGATCTCATGGCGGAATGGCAGCAACGACTGTCGCAACCGAGGGCTGGGCTCGCTGCCATCGCAGCGGTAAGTCCCCTCTTTGAGGAGTGGCTTGAGAGACGCTACGGCGTCCTCACCTACCGCCTGACGCAGGTCCTCACCGGACATGGAAGTTTCGGGAGGTACCTGTGTCTGATGGGGCGGGAGGAAACGCCCGGGTGTCATCACTGCGAGGACCGCCCTGAGGACACGGTGGAACACACGGTGGGAGAATGCCCTTCGTGGGCTGAGCACCGCCGTGTCCTCAGGGAAGTGATCGGCGATGGCGACCTCTCGCGTCCGGGCCTAGTGCAGGCCATGATGCGGAGCGAGGGGGATTGGGATGCCGTCTCCTCCTTTTGCGAAGCAGTCATGCTAGCTAAGGAGGAGGCGGGACGCGTGAGGCAGCGAAGCGCTGCCTCCTCGCAACCCAGCCATCGCGAAGGACACACCGGGCGTCGGGGATCGCGGGACGATCTCCGGCCACCGTAAGCGCGGGCCTGCGGACGGCGAGCATGGGTGGCTCCCCGTCCGACCAGAAACAGACCCGAGCGTACGGCGCGTCGCGTTCCGCGCGCGCCTCAAAGAGCCATCAGACCACCACAGATGGGGCCCAATAGGGCCGATGCCGATTCGGAGTCGCGGAGAACCTAACGGGTAACCGGGGCTCCGGCTCGACGTGCAGGAGAAGGAACGGGGTGGTTTTTAGTCAGTAAGAGTCTGACACTCCCTCCCGCCTCACCCAGGCGGGGGCAGTCATTCGATGATTTTCCCCCCTTAAAAAAAAAAAGATCGGCTGTCGCGGAGAACCTAACGGGTAACCGGGGCTCCGGCTCGACGTGCAGGAGAAGGAACGGGGTGGTTTTTAGTCAGTAAGGGAGAAGACATTCGATGATTTTCGCTCCTTAAAAAAAAATGCCTTTGTCGGCTCTGACGATCTGACCTGCGGGAAGAGTAGGGATGGCGACATAATTATGTTCTGCAATCACCTCCCGCCATCGTTATTACCAATTTAGATTCTAACCTCAAGAAGATAAGATAATAAATCAATCAACCGTTATATATAAAAGATGGTTTCGAATCATTTCATTGATTGTTTGCGCCGTTGCTGTGTCAACAAAATGAGGGGGTTCATAATTGTGAGTATTGTTTATTTATTTTATATTCTTAAGTAAGTACCAGACTGCCTCGTTGGCCGAGTAGTCGTAAGTGCGACTGCAGGGCAAGGGGCCTCGGGTTCGATTCCCAGGTCGGGCAAAGTATTACTGGGTTTTTAAATATTCTCAGTAGTAGCACGGAGTCTGGACATGTGCCCGGTATATGGCAATAGGCTCACCCCCTATTACATGGGACTCATAACATTAATAGTGAAAAGTGGGTGTTACATTATACAGTGGTATAATGTGCACCTCTGCCTACCCCTTCGGGGATAAAAGGCGTGGTGTTATGTTGTATGTCTTAAGTACCAGTAGGATGCTTCATAACACAAATAATGAAAAGTGGGTGTTACATTGTTCAGTGACATTAAGTAACGTAATGTGCACTTCTGCCTACCCCTTCGGGGATAACAAGCGTAATGTTATGTAGTGGGATGCCCCAGATTAGATTTTGTACCAATATTTATTTGGTGTAAAAACTATTTAAAGTTTATCATAACGTTTGCGTTGTTTCGTCGTGTGAGTGAGACTATCGGAGGCCCAATTACCCTACCCAATATCCCCAATCCATTCTTAAATTCCTAATCCCCAAAATGCCGGTAACGCCAAACACCAGACTGTTTTAATCACACCTCTGGTGTTCCAGGTGTCCATGGGCGACGCCGATTAGCTAACCATCAGGTGATCCGTCTGCTCGATTCCCGGCGTATTCTATAAAAAAAATACTAAACTACAAATGGACACTATTATAAATCATTTTTATCGTATTTGCTACAACGACAGGATGTTTTAAGAATTGTATTTTCTTTTACAGTTAAGTATATCTGTGCTCTGGCTGGGATCGTTATGCTGTTCGGGATTTAGTTTGACAAAAGTGAGTATTGAAATATTAATTTATTGACTTGTTTAATCAGTCGAGTAAAATATGTAAGCTGAAAACCGACATGAAATATGGGTTGCCTTGTGTTAGTCAGGTTACCGGAGGCCCAATTACCCAATTTCTCTCTGATATACCTGAACCTGCCTAATGAGACTGCCTCGTTGGTCGAGTGGTAGCAATTGTGACTCGCCAAAGGGTCTTTTTACAATTACTGGGTTTTTTCAAAAAATCTCAGTAGTAGCACGGAGTCTGGAATTGTGCCCGGTATATGGCAATAAGTTCATCCCCCTATTACATGGGACTCATAACATAAATAGTGAAAAGTGGGTGTTACATTGTGCAGTGGCATAAGTGCCGTAATGTACACCTCTGCATAACATATCATCACGCCATCAGGTTTAACCTGAACCTTTTAAACTGAGATGCAAACTCCACTTATGTATAAGGCCATAGGGCAATAGGCCATCAATAGACTATCATGAGCTGTTGATGATGATGATGAAAAATGTTAACCAACTTGAAAAAAGAGTGTTTGTACGCGATTATCTAGCAATTGGTTGACCGGATTTTTGCAGATGCAGTTTTTCAGAAAAGTTTTTATAATTATTACATAACTAGCTACTTCCGCACGATTTCACGCGCTCTGCTCAGTTCCTATTGGTCGTAGCGTGATGTTTTATAGCCTAAAGCCATCCTCAATAAATGCGCTATCCAACACAAAAAGAATTATTCAAATCAGACTTGTAGTTACGGACATTAGCGCGTTCAAACAAACAAACAAAAAACAAAGTCTTCCGCTTTATATAATAGTATAAGATAGGATAAGCTTTCTTCTTCTTCAAAAAGTGATGGGATTGAAGTCGGTTGTAGTTTACAATAGAATTTTCTATAACAATACGTTTGAATGTCTATTATTAAATATTTAAATTCCTTGCCATCCCGACCCGGTTACCCGTGAGTACAGCGCGTCGCGTTCCGCGCGCGCCTCAAAAAGTCATCAGACCACCACAGATGGGGCCCATTAGGGCTGATACGGGTACGGGATACGGAACCGAGGAGAACTTAACGGGTTACTCCGGCTCAAAGTACAGGGACCGGGGTAGTTTTTAGTCAGTAAGAGTCTGACACTTCCTCCCGCCTCACCCAGGCGGGAGCAGTCATTCGATGATTTCCCCCATAAAAAAAATAAATATCCAGACCCCGTTCGCATTTACCTAGTTTCGTTTTAGCTTATAAAAAATATATTTATTTTTTTATCATTGTTCCAGGTAAAACCATCGAAATTAGTCCTTCAAGTAATAGACGATGACTTTGATAATATGGACCAGAAATCTCCAAGGATATCCAGTCCAAATGGGAGAATACCAACTTTAAGTGAAATAATTTATTACCATATAATTGAACGACCATTCTGGAGATATGAAGAGAGTAAAGAGGTATGTAATAAGATAATATGGTCGTGCGTGGTGGCCCTAGAGGTTTAGACGCCCGTTTCTCTTGCATGAGAGAGCGGTTCGATACCTACCGGGCCACCACGACGACAAATCAGGATCCATCTTCAAGGAATTAAAGCATTACGTTACCAATATGAAAACAAAATACAGAACGTTTGGTTAGTGGACCCCAGTATCAGCTTCTTCCTCTGGACCGCGTTCAGCGGCGTGCCGTTCGGATTGTTGAATGTCGGGATGTTTCAAACCGGCTGGACACTTTGGCAATGCGTAGAGATGTAGCTTTGTTGTGCATTTTCTATTGCTTATACCACGGGGAGTGCTCTGAGCAATTGTTTGACTTGATACCTACCGCATTTTTTCGCCATCGACCCTCACGACAGCATATGCATCCCCGTCATATAGATGGTTGGCAGGCCACAACTGTGCGCTTCTCACGTAGCTTTCTGCCTCGCACAGCAAAACTGTGGAATGATCTGTCGTCGGCGGTATTTCCGAACTGATACGACCTTCAAACTTTCAAGAAAATAGCGTATTCCTTTTTAAAAGGCCGACAACGCATTTTTTACTCCTTCCTGGTGTTGTGGGTGTCCATGGGCGGCACTGATTGCTTACCATCAGGTGATGCGTCTGGTCGTTTGCCTCCTATTCCATAAAGAAAAAAAAACTTTCTATAGACGAAGTCCACTAAAAATTCTGACTGACATAGACTGAATTAATATTTTGTTTTTAATACAGGTTACTTCTGACGAAGAAATCCTGGTCGCCAATGATGGACGTCCATTCACGAATGGACAAGGGTTTCAGTTTTTGACTGAAGATGATGACGAAGTAAGTGTTTATAATTTTATTTTATTCTTTTTTCGCCTTCACAACTTTTGTATCAGATCAGGACTAGATAGCCACTATAATACACCAAGCTTCCTTGTGCGTACTGCTAAGGAGTGGATTTCTTTGCCAGAGTCTGTATTTCCTGAAGGGTATATATAACCTGGGTGTCTTCAAGGCCCGAGTGAATAGGTTGCTTATGGGACGACGTGCTCCATCGTAGACCGCATCATCGGTTACCACCAGACTAGATAGTATTCAAACGTCGACCCATCAAATATAAAAAAAAAAAAAACATAAAACGTAATTAACATGAATTGTTTGCCAGTTTATATCAGGTACTAAGCCATCGAAGCATTCGGTTTAATTGTGCTCGTTTGATATAATGCGTCCACAACTACCGCTTTGACAGAAGTAGACACAAAATATTATTTTTATTATATCTATCGTGATACTTACTGGATTAACTAAAAATGACAGCTTACTTACGTAAATGTACTGAGAAAAGCTCTACTAGTTTCGAGTCACAGAGGGACTTGTAATTCAGAGGGACTTAGGATAAAATTAAATAATATAAAGGATACCCTTTAGATTATTTAATGTTTATTTATTTATTTATTCAAGGGACAAAAAACAGTCACATATTAAGATTGTACATAAAAAGTCTTACATTGAACAACAGCTACAATAAATATGTAACCCACACGATTGCCCACAATTTGGTATAAAGTATAATGACCAATAATGACCGTGTTACGGTAGTGTTATCATAATTAAATATAAAGAATACATAAAAAGATACAACAAAAAGCCATTGTGCATTGTACTTAGAAAAAAGAATAACTAATGTTATAAAATTCTACTTCTTTTCAGTCCGAACAATCTGAGAATGAGAAACCCGAACCTGATGACAAAGTAGAAACCCCAGAAGATAAGTCAAAGAGGTCTGCTGATGAGGTAACTAATAATTATAAATATTAATATTAAATATATCATTAAATTGACTGTCTCATTAGTCGAATGGCCTCAAGAGACAAACAGTCGTGAGTTCGATACCCAGTTAGGGCTCGTACACAAAAATGTGTGAGCTCTCTCTACGCATCGCAAGAACTTGCGAATTGATTCGCATCGCGCATCTTAATCTTATCTTCTCAAAATCTTCTTTGTTTCTTTTTCTTATATCTCCTAAGCAATAACAGAAGTGCACACTTCTTTTTACGATCCATGTCACGACCTAGTTTTTAATTTGAAATACGTGTAGTGCGGTTGAAGGTCTTCGAAGGAAAGGTCATTCTGGGAGACGCCTTGTCGCACGAAATCCCATCGCAGCAATTTGTATCGTAATTTTTGCGTTGCGAATTCGCATCGCATCGCAATTTTGTGTACGAGCCCTAAAAGGTGTATGCTGTATTTTATTCACTTTCATAAGTGCCTTTACATAGTTTTATAGAAGAAGTATTGCCTAGTGTAAGTTAATGAGAAGTTAAACCTAATTTCGATGTTTAAGGTGTCAGAAGATTCACTAAACAAACTACCAGTACACGAACCACTAAATGCTTCGAAGAATGTACTACAGGATGTACAACAGAACTCACCGAAATACGAACTAGAAGACGGACAAATAGATGCTGTGCAAGATGAACAAAAAGACTTACTAGAAAAGACACAAGAAGATACGCCAAAAGGTGAATCTAAGGACGCAGAAGAACATAAAAATACACCAGAAGATGAACAAAAGGAGGTACCAGAAGATAAACTAACAGAAGACGAACAGAAAAATGCTCCACAAAACGAACAAAAAGAACAAAGAAGACAGAAACGCGAAGTTTTAGAAGAAGATGGAGTAAGTATCAGGGTTTTTGAAAGCCAGTTCACGTTCTTAAGAACAGTGTGGTTGCAAGTGCGACTGCCGGGCAAGGGGTATCGGGTTCGATTCCCGGGTCGGGCAAAGAATTGCTGGGTTTTAAAAAAAAATTCGAGTAGTAGCACGGAGTCTGGAATTGTGCCCGGTATATGGCAATAGGCTCACTCCCCATTATATAGGACTCATAACATAAATTGTGAAAAGTGGGTGTTACATTGTACATTGGCATAATGTGCACCTCTGCCTACCCTCTCGGGGATAAAAGTAGGTAGAGTAGTTTAGTAGGTAGGCAGAGGTGTAGATTATGCCACTGTACAATGCAACACCCACTTTTCACTATTTATGTTATAAGTCCCATGTAATAAGGGGTGAGATTAATAAAACTTGGAAATAACTTATCCAGTTAGGTTATTACCTAATAGGGATAAAGCTATACTCATATATTTGTTTTATACCACGACGGTGGCAGAAAAGCACACGGCCCACCTGATGGTAAGCGGTTACCGTGGCCTCTGTACGCTTGCAACACTTGGGGTATTACATGCGCATTGCCGACCCTTACAAAACTAATTTACTCCCTTCTTCAAGAACCCCATGTTGTAGCCTACTGGGAAAACCACAACAGGTTAGTTCATTCCACAATCAGAGGGTCCTTGGGAGGAAATTCCTCTGAAACCGATTAACCTCAATTACCTACTACATAAATGAGAACATGATTATCACTACATAGTATAAAACAAAGTCGCTACCCGCCGTCTGTCTGTCCCTATGTATGCTTAGATCTTTAAAACTACGCAACGGATTTTTATGCGTTTTTTAATAGATAGAGTGACCCTTAAGGAAGGTTTATATGTATAATGCATGCATATTGCACCCGTGCGAAGCCGGGGCGGGTCGCTAGTAAGATTATAATTGCATATTCACCTTTAGCAAGCATTGCTATCCTTTTTCTATTCTGTGCCTTTAGTCAAACGCCACTTTAGCGCTTGTCTACAGAGAGAGTAGAAATCAAAATGTATGGGGATGACACTAAGAAGTGTCAAAATTTTCGTCAATTCCATAAAATTTGGTTTTCTATTCTACATGTAGACAAGCGCTAAATGGCATTTGGCTATAGCTGCAGTACTGATTCGTTTTTCATGTTTTCAGAATTTTAATGATGGCCCAACTTGGTACTATATTGTACCCAGTGGCAACGGCTTTGAAGATATTGGAGAGGTAAATATTTGAAGACCAGATTATTCCATTTATCTAAAAAGGGTTACTGGCTCTACATGATCAATCATAATAAATCATCAGAAATATGTTCCAAACTCAGTTCGAAAATTTTAAATAATCAACTGTTCATTTTGAAATTTATCAAACCCAATTATGTTAATTGATCTTGCACGTATAGCCCAGCATGATATGATTATGTTTATATTATAACTTTAGTGAGACATATTAAATTATTTGTTATATTTTCGGCTTACTCACGTAGGTAACTGTTTGATGAGGAACTCGTCTAGTGTCAAGCCATGCTAGAGACTCATATTCATGAGCAGCATTTCGCGACCCGCGACGCGGCGACTGTCGCGCTGCTACTGGCTTCTCGAGTCTGCTGATAATTAATTAAGAATGTCTGACGAAAGTTTTAATATAAGCAAGGTTATCCATCTTAGAATTATAGCCCAGAATGATATAATTATTTAATATAATTTATTTTTTAATTTACAGTTAAATGGAAACGACATAGAATTTGATTCAAAAGAATCCAGCCAAGAACCTTTTGAAAATATCGCTTACAATCAAGTAGTCGTCGACGGTTTAGAAGACAACGATATCTTTGAAGAAGTAATTGAAGAAAATTCCAATGAAAGCGCTTCTGATAACTCAGGAGAAACTTTTTGCGAAGACGATGGTGATTCTGGTGAAGAAGACGGTGAATCCAGCGAAGAAGTTTATGTGCCTGGTATACTTGGTAATATTCTAAGCAATGATATTATTAATATCGAAGAGCAAATACCAGGTTTTGAAATCAAAAGCGAGGAATCTGATAAAGCTAACATAGTAAATGTTCTAGAAGGTTTGTTTACTAAAATAGTAAAAAACCAAATAGTTATTAACAATAATGTGCCTCTACCTGAAGAATCTGATGAAATTGTCGCTGAAAAAGATGCAGTTGCAAAAGAAAACCCTAAAGATGAAGTTAGCGATGAAGTTGTAAAAATTACACCTGAAAAAGAAAAGGATTCTGCACAAAATGGAAAACCGGACGTTGAACCAGAAAAACTGTCTGAAAATGAAAACCAAGAAGCTACTTCAGAAATCAATGAAGAAAAAATAACCACAGAAAGCCCTAATAACGCTGAAGTCGAAAACAATTCTTTGGAAAAACCAGAAATTCAAAAAGATAACATTCCCGACATAGCCCCTAACAAAGAAGAAAATGGAGAAGATTTAGAAGTAGCTTCTAAGGAAAATAAAAATGAATTATATAATGAAAAAGACAGTAAAGAAAAGGACGCAGTAGAAAAGGAAAATACCCAAGAAAATCCATCAGGCGACGAAGGAAAACATTCTGAGGGCAACGAAAATGATAAAAAACCTTTAGAAGATGAAAAAAATGTAAAAGAAGATAGTGTGGTACCTACTGAGGATGAAAAGGAAGAATTGAAGGATGTAACAGAGGCACCTGTAGACAAATTGGAAGAAGAAAAGGAGCCTATACTAGAAAAGGTATGTAATTATGTTATATATAATACCAAAGGGCAAGGGCATTTTGACAGTTATCTCCAGTCAAAATCATTTATTTCAATTGGGCTAGGAAGACACTTTTGTACACCAAACAAACAAATTTAAAAGTGTCGGAACGAAAGTCCTCTAGTGAAGCTATTTGCTTGTTCCGAGGTGTAGATTCCTATGGAGAAGAACGAGCAAGAAACTCCATAGGTTACTCTTTTTCAATCAGGTTCAGAAACAATTCTTCAGTTACATAGTTTCGTTGGTTCAATTGTGTGATAACAATGTAATACCATGTTGGAGTCCCATTGTAATAGATTGCTTGATAGAAAAATCTAGTATTTAATAATAATAAATAGGTTTTTCAAAATTAACCAAAATTTCAAGACATTCCATGTATTCCTAATTTAAATGATTGCACGGTTGGCGCGGTGCATAGGCCACTGGCTGCCGCGCAACGTGTCGCGGGTTTGATTCCCGCATGGAACCAGTCACACTTGCGACCACTCGATCAATGACGCAGAATTTTTATGTATACTTTTAAACATATACATATGATAATTTAACAAATCTACTGTATTTTCACAGCAGACCAAGAAATACATCGAAAAAGAAATAACAGCACAAATAAATAAATATTTCGAAGAACATAAACCGGAAAATAAAGTTGAACCAGAAAAAGAAGTATTACCTGAAAAAGAACCTGAAATTGAGCCCCAAACAGACGAAATTGGTGTAACAACACCTGAAAATACTGATAAAACTGTTGCAAAACCTCCTAACATTGAAGATAGCATAGAAAAACCTATTGGACAAGAAAATAATAAAGACGATTATAAAGAAACAGAAGATAAAAGAACTTCAGATGACAAAAACAAAGAACACAAACTGGAAGAAGACAAATCAAAGGAAAAACCATCGGTTCATGTAAAATCTAATAATGTATACGGTAACTCAGTGGGCAATGAGAAAGTAACTAATGTTTACATATTCTACGGTAACAAAAACTTAGGCAATATCGTAAAAAATGTAAAGCATCTTGTAGATGGTAACAAAAATACTAATTTATACGCCATTGGACCTGAAAAGGGAAAACATACTAGTCATAAAAAGAATAAAAGTCACAATGTTGATGAGGCTGACAAAGTAAGTGAAGAAGAAAAACATGTTAAAAAGGAATCTCAGGTGAACGCCGATAATAATGAAATTAAAGACCAAATCGAACAAAATGAATTTAAAAACTCTGAAGATAAACCAAATTCAAATGATAATTTAGTCGCTGAAAAAGATACTACTGATGATGTAGATGTGGAAACTGAAGGAGACGAAAATCATCAAGATTCTTCTGACATACGGGAAGAGCCAAAAAAATCGGATAAACCCAATAAGGAATCACCGTCCCATAAGAAACATGACTTCAAAGAAAAAGTAGAAGTAGGAAAAGATTCAAATGAAGATAAATCTGATGATGAAAAATCTTCAAAAGAAAATCCCGGATTGCCTTCGGAGAAAAACATATCTGCCATAAAAGAAAACTCTGAAAAAGACAAATCTGTAGGGAAGACCGATGTGACTGCCGATAAAAAGATACTTGATGAGAAAAAAGACGAATCGGCTGAGAAAAATCAAGCATCTGCTGGAAAGAAAGACGGCTCTGCCGAAAAAGATGCAACTATTAACAACACAGATGAATCTACTGATAGAAAAGATAAATCCATTGAAGAGAAGAATAAATCTGCCGAAAAGAAACATAAATCTGGCGAAAAAGATAAGGCTACTAAGGAAAAAGATGAATCTGCTAATAAGAAACAAGAGTCTGAGGAGAAAAATGATGAATCCGTAGATAAGGAACATAAACCTGTCGAAAAGAAAGAGGAATCTCTGGAAACACATGAATCAAATAAGAAGAAGGACACATCTGCCGAAAAAGATAAAGGTGCTGAGAAAAAAGATGAATCTGCTGAGAAGAAAAATGAACCTGCTGAAATGAAAGTCGAATCTATTGAAAAAGACAAGAAAGACGAAATCACTGAGGGAAAAGAAAAATCAGCTGAGAAAAGAGATAAATTAGCTGAGAAAAGAGATAATGCCGCCAAGACACAAGATGAGTCTCTAGAGAAGGAAGATATATCTGATGAAAAAGATAAAAATGCTGACAAAGAAAAAAAATTTAGCGAGAAAAGAGATAAACCTACTGAAAAGAAACACAAATCTTTTGACAATAAAGATGAACTCGCTGAAAATAAAGATAAATCTGCCGAAAAAGATTTAACCACGGAGAAGAAAGATGAATCTGCTGAAAAAGATGAAGTAGCAGACAAATACGATGAATCAGCTGAGAAGAAAGACGAACCCGTTAAAAAGAAAGACGAATCTTCTAATAAAAAAGATGAACCCGCTGAAAATAAAGATAAATTTGCCGAAAAAGATTTAACCGCGGAGAAGAAAGATGAATCTACTGAAAAAGATGAAGCAGCAGACAAATACGATGAATCAGCTGAGAAGAAAGACGAACCCGTTAAAAAGAAAGACGAATCTTCTAATAAAAAAGATGAACCCGCTAAAAATAAAGATAAATCTGCCGAAAAAGATTTAACCGCGGAGAAGAAAGATGAATCTACTGAAAAAGATGAAGCAGCAGACAAAAACGATGAATCGGCTGAGAAGAAAGACAAACCCGTTGAAAAGAAAGACGAATCTTCTAATAAAAAAGACGAATCCGCTGAAAATAACGATAAATCTGCAGAAAAAGACGAAAGTGCCAAGATATCTGGTGAGACTAAAGACGAATCAACTGAAAAAAAGGCAGAACCCGCTGAAAGTAAAGATAAATCTGTTGAGAAAGATGGAGACGCTGAGAAAAACGACAAATCTCTAGAGAAAAAGGAAAAAACTGACGAAATCGATGACGGCGCCGAGAAAGAAGACGTATCCAATGAGATGGAAGACAAATCCAATATGAAAAAAGATGGCATTGTTGAGAAAAATAATGAATCTGCTGAGAAAAAAGCTGATTCCGAAGAAAAAGATAAGCCTGTCGAAAAAGACGCAACCGCAGATAAAAATGACGAATCTAATGAGAAACAAGACGAATCTGTTGAAAACCTAGACGAATCTAATGAAAAGAAAAATGAGTCTGGAGAGAAAATAGACAAATTAGCTGATGCTGCAAAGAAAGATAAATCTGCTGGAAAAGATGAAGCAGCAGACAAAAACGATGAATCTGCCGAGAAAAAAGACGAATCCACCGAGAAGAAAGACGAATCCACCGAGAAGAAAGACAAATCCGATGTGAATCAAGATGGCATTGTTGAGAAAAATAAAGAATCAGCTGACAAGAAGGACGAATCTGCTGAGAAAAAAGCAAATTCCGCCGAAAAAGATAAGTCTGTCGAAAAAGACGCAACCGCAGACAAAAATGACGAATCTATTGAGAAACAAGACGAATCTGTTGAAAACCTAGACGAATCTAATGAAAAGAAAAATAAGTCTGGAGAGAAAATAGACAAGTTAGCTGATGCTGCGAAGAAAGATAAATCTGCTGAAAAAGATGAAGCAGCAGACAAAAACGATGAATCTGCTGAGAAGAAAGACGAATCTTCTGAGAAAAACGACAAACGCACTGAAAACAAAAGTAAATCTGGCGATGAAGGTGCTCAGCAGGAAAAAGATGATACTGCTGAGAAAAAAGACGAATCTGTAGAGCAAGAAGAAAAAGTAGATGAAGAACACGCAGATGCCAAGAATAAAGTCGATTCTGCTGAAGAGAAAGATGAATCCGTTGAAAAAGACAAGACTAAGAGGCGAAGATAACATTATAGAAAAGTAAAACTCTATTAAGAGTTAATCACTAAAAAGGTATCAGAGTCAAAAGTCAAAATCATTTATTTAAATTAGACCAGAAAGGCACTTTTGAGCGTCAACAAAAAATTAAAAGTGAAGCTATTTGCTCATTCCAAGGTGAACATTCCTATGGAGAAAATGAGCAAGAAACGCCATAATATTATGTTACTAGATGATTTCTAAAATCAAAGCATATTTCAATTACTATCTCATACAAGCAGTTTTGTACAGTCAAAATAGAATAGTCCGTCAGTGAAGCTAGGCGCTCGTTCCAAAGTGTACATTTGAATGGAAAAGAACGAGCTAGAAACTCCGTCGTTACTCTTTTGAAAAGAAAAAAGAGAGTAATCGACGGAGAAGCGTTTGGTAAAGAAAAATCTGTAAACGTTAATACATCTGAAAATCGAATTGTAATAAGGCTTTAAAGTATTGTAAATAGTAAATTAAGTACTCTATCAGAAGTTAAATAATGAAAATAAAAAATTAAAGTTAACCCAAAAAATATTTTTATTAACTTTAGTCCACACACACCACTTGTCGTACCTACGTGAGTGCGTTTACAAACACAAAATCCACGAGCACATCATATCCAAAACAGGTACAATAATTTTGGAAATGTGGATCACACAAAGGCGTTCTGTGCGTAAATCTACAGTTAAGTATTACTGGGTTTTTCAAAATATTCTCAGTAGTAGCACGGAGTCTGGAATTGTGCCCGGTATATGGCAATAGGCTCACCCCCTATTACATGGGACTGATAACATAAATAGTAAAAAGTGGGTGTTACATTGTACTGTGGCATAGTGTACACCTCTACCTACCCCTTCGGGGATAAAAGGCGTGATGTTATGTTATGTTAATTAAGTATTCTCACTGTAATGGGTTCATCATTCCAAACTAGATATGTAGAATATCGAAATCTAAGGTCTCATTTACGGTGACGCGACAGGCGACACGCTGCGCGTCACAGCAGGCCGTTTCATCACTTCGGCAAACAAAAACAAATCAGCAATGTATGACGAACGCGCTGCGCAACGCACTGTGTCTGAGGTACTTTTTTTTTAAGGGGGGAAAATCATCGAATGACTGCTCCGGCCTAGGTGAGGCGGGAGGGAGTGTCAGACTCTTACTGACTAAAAACCACCCCGTTCCTTCTCCTGCACGCCGAACCGGAGCCCCGGTTACCCGTTAGGTTCTCCGCGACAAAATATACAATATTGCCAATTTTCAAAGCTCCCGGAAATCATTCCAGGTAGAACTACGTAATGACGGAACTTTTAGGGAACATAGAGTATAGTTCCCTAAGATCGGAAAAGCAAGATCCTCCTGAAGAAGGTGATCGTGCCTGGCGGGCTTTCTGCCCGTGTCTGAGGTATAAGTTCTAACCAAAGGCAAAGGGTTTAAAAAAGAAACAAAAAGAAATATTTTAAAACATTTTTATTTATTACTAAATAACAAGGAAATATCTTATGGCACTGAGGAGATGGAAATAAAATGGGTCAGACTTATAATAGACTAAATTGTGATAAAAAAAGCTATGACAGACATTTAACATCATCATGCGTACAGCCACGTACTGTCCACTGCCCCCCACAGTCCTCCCCAATGACTACACATCGCGAAGTTGGAAGCAACCTCCAAACAGCGACTGTTGCAGTCTTTTATCGGGCTTTCACCAAATAGGGTAGCTTCCTAAATTTGATTTTAACTCGTCGAGTACCGTCATTATAGACACAATTATAGAACAATAGGTTGCGGTCACCGGTGACCTCGCCGTGTTTGACAGTTTAATATCTGGTAGATTAATCTAAAACATTAGACACTTATTTTTTCTTTTCTTAAAATATTCAATACTTTCGACGATATATTAAACTGTCAAACACCAAGCGGTCACCGGTAACCGCAACCTATTGTTCTATAATTGTGTCTATAATGACGGTACTCGACGAGTTAATATGAAATATCGTGTGACATCACAACGTGCTACATTTTTATATATTTATTTATTTAACACTTTTTGGAGGTACAAGCGTATACAACGGCGGACTTAATGCCCAATGGCATTCTCTACCAGCCAACCAAAGGGTGATGCAGAGAAGTGTTTACAGTAGGTTTTAAATGAAGTTTGCATTTATAGAAAATTGAAAAAAAAAATGCGAGGGTGACATATGTACATATATATATATCAGTGGCGTGCACAGGGTTTTAGAACAGGGTAGGCAACATAATATTGTATTATGATTAAACTCATCGTAAATACATAACATAATTCAACTTATGAGGTTTTTAATCTTTCGTCAATTCTTTGTAACAGTGCCATCTCTCGTTGTTTTCGTGAAGTATTACATCAACTTATTGATTACTCTAACAACTTAAAAACATTAATATTCTATTTTTCTCTTTAGATTTGTAAAACTAATCTGCATAATTACCTACTCGAGGTGCTGTATAACGATTAATCTAATTTATGTTATCAATTCAGTAGCAGTAACGAATTGTTCATTCTAAAAATTGTACTGAACTGGCGGCCTGTCCAGCCTTCTCACGTTTAATACAAGAATATTACGAATTCTTTACTCTTTTAATTTAATTCTTCGAATTAATAAGTTTGGTTCATCTATTCAAGAGATATTATGATTTTAAGAACTTGGGTATGACTAATAGAAAAATCGAACCGAGCGCGGCCGGCTGCGGCCGAGCCGAGTAAGCGGTAGTACATTTTTTAGTATTATTAAACATTCATTTACCTAGCTTATTCTTCTTCATTTCATTTTATAATTAGTACATAACATATTACTTAAAGCTTCGTTATTTTTACTGACTGAGTTGCCGCGACGGGAAGCTCCGCGTAGGTACCTACTTATGTTACATAACCTAATCACATTAAAATAAAGTAACTTTCATAGAACTTACCAAGACAAGACTATCAGAAGAAAAACTCACACACAATCTAATCACTAAGCGATGGTCTGCGATAGTTTATAATTCTTTACCAACTTTTGTCAATACAAACTTCACAGTTCTTCGTATAACTTTGCAAAATCAATTAACAAATAAACAAACACAGTAATAAAATGTACTTATATAAATAGACAATTTTATACCGTTTACTACAAATTATTTGCGTAGAATTACTAATCGTATTCTAAATCAAATAACAAAATTATCCGAAAATCCACGCATCGCACGTAAACAAAAACAAAAAAATTGTCACGCGCGAGCGGCGTGAAGTTCGCTGCGAGGCGACCAATGAGTAAACCAAGACACGGAACGTGATTGGTCGGCACGCGGCGAACTCAATCACGAGTCGTCAGGCCGTGCCTGCAGGCAAGCTTCGCGACGATAAAATAAACGCGTCTGTGCACTACGCACACAATGACGTTCACCACTACACGCTTAAATTTATGAATGGTTTGCAGGCGACGGAACCGCGTGCCTGCCTCGCGCGTTAATGTTTACAGCTATATACGGTACGCCTGGCGAAATGCAACACGTATCGCGCGCCATCATTGTTGCTATACTATTTATTTTAGGCGTTCACTAATTTTATTATAATTATTATTTTAGTATTCTGTAGTAAAATTAAAATGTTTATATCTTTTATTACGTAGTGTTATTCACGGTATTTGTAAGGTAGGCAAAGCCTTTTTGCCTATATGGACTGCACGCCACTGATATATATACATTTTGTAGCACGCTGTGGTGATATGCCCCCATAAATTTCGGACTCTTCAAGTTATAAAATCAAATCTTTCAATTGGGTACTTTCCTTAATCAAAAATAAATGATTTCGACTGTTCAATACAATAAAACGTAAAAAGAATAATCACACTTTCATTAATTGATTTTATGACTAACTTAATTTTAGTATTTTTCCAGCAATTTTTAAGCAATAACTATGCTGTTTGACGCTTAAAAAACGTGACGTCACAATACACAATCTCGTACAAAATTCATAGATAACTGTCGTTTTTGACAGTTCGAAAAAGTATTGAATTTGACTAGTTGACGAGTACACAATTCGCAAAGGGGTAGACAGAAGCATGCGTAGAGTACACTCACTAATTATTACTTATGTTATTTTCATTTTATAAAATGTTTAATTTAAAATGTCTGACACAGCTCTTTAAAAGTTTCAAAGATGGCAGTAAAGCAAAATTAATCTTACAATAATAGTTATCGTTTATTTAAAAAATAATATATTAAAAATATACGTTTATATTGATTTTATATACCATTATTTTTAGGGCCATATAAACTATCAATATAAATTTTTAATAACTGAAAGCATAGAAAAGTGCACTTATAAAATTGATTTATTTATTTTTAATCAGTCACAACGGCAGAAAATCTAATTGCAGTAACTGTAAAAATGTTAAAATGTACTACCAGTACCATGTGACTATATAATATGATACTGGTAGTACATTTTAACCAAGTCATTTAGTATGAAGATAAAAAAATAAAGATAGATTCAGTACAGAGACAGTAACTATTGTTGTACTCGATTGTACGCTTTGTAACGAAGCCATGTCATTCGTAACTCAGTCGGCTCTAGACAACCAATGGCTACCGTCTCTGTACTGAACCAATCTATATTTCATTACCTGCGTACTAAATGGATTGGCTGATTGTAACTGGCTTATTACTTCATACTTAATGAAAAAAAAACTTCATGATGTGTGTCTTTAAAGTTCAAAATTGTTCAACAATATATTTAATTTTAAAAAAATTATGATACGTAAGTAATCAATTTTTAAAAATAATATAACTATAATATAAATGTATAATATGTAATAATCGCCAAATTTAGTTAAAGAACTTTATATTTGTGATGACATTTCATAATAACATATAAAAAATATTCAAAAAAACTAAGACAAATTTATAATTGAATGCAAAGCTAGATTTTAGACTTTCAAATTCATTATCATCTTAAAAACCATATTTAATTTATGTATATAAAATATAATATAATATAGTTTCTTAAACTATGTAATATAAAAAAATGAACCGTTAACTAAAAATCGCGGGTTAATCACGTGAATATGCTGAGAAAAGCTCTACTAGTTTCGAACCACAGAGGGGTTCTTCCTCATGAGTAGCGTGCGCGGTCGCGGCGACGTCGCGCAGCCTACTGATGTGGTTCGAAACTAGTAGAGCTTTTCTCAGTATATTCACGTGATTAACCCGTGATTTTTAGTTAATTTAGTATGTCTCACGATAGTTATTATAAAACATTAACCGTGTTTAAAATATATATATATATATATTAACTTATAAATAGGTCTTTACATACTTAAACTTAAAGTAACAAAATCTAATTTATAAGATAAATAAATACTCTATTAGTACAGAACTCATTTAAACGGGATTATTCAACCTCGCGACATGTCACCGTCTCCTTTCTACACACGGGGGAGTCAGAAGGGCTTAGTACGCGTTCCGAACGAACGAAAACGCCAACGAGACCGCGTTTAGCTCTCTGATTGGCCGGCTTCAATGAACTAACCAACTAATTAATATCACGAATGCAATAGTTATAAGGCGCCGCCCATGGACAGCTGAGACACCAGAGGCGTTACTAGTGCGTTACCGGCCTTTTGGTAATTGAAATTCTAAGGATTGTGGGGGATTCGAAAGATTAAGGAGGGGGATAATTGAGCCTCCGGTGACTTCACTCACACGACGAAACACGACGGAAGCGTTACAGGTGATCCGTCTGTTCGTTTACCGGCTTATTCCATGAAAAAAAGATGACGAAAATGCAACAAATATTTACTTCGTACTGAGCCCTCTGAATATTTTATACTGCGATCTCCAACCCGCCTGCCTGCGGAGATTATGACAAACCCCTCTTATGTAGACGAGGCTCGTAGTACAGCAGTGGACTGCCCCATGCTGTTGATTTTAAAACCCCTATAATGCTTCTCAAGTAATAAAATATTTATTTCATATTTCGGAAAATATTACAAAAATAAAAAATATATTACCTGTAGCAACACTACGAACTTAAAACTTATTATGCAAGCAACACTGATATTACATAAGTTACTAGCTTTTGCCAATGGCTTGCCCGCGTTCCCGTAGAATAAAAAGTAGCCTATGTATTATTCCATACCATAAGCGAGCATGGGTGGCTCGCCGCCCGACCAGACCCAGACCCGAAAGTACGCGCGTCGCGTTCCTCGCGCACCTCAAAGAGCCATCAGACCACCACGGATGGGGCCCAATAGGGCTGATACCGAATACGGAGCCGCGGAGAACTTAACGGGCTACCGGGGCTCCGGCTCGAAGTGCAGGAGTAGGAACGGGGTAGTTTTCAGTCAATAAGAGTCTGACACTCCCTCCCGCCTCACCCAGGTGGGAGAAGACATTCGATGATTTCCCCCCTTAATACCAATCCCTTCAACCGTTTCGACGTGAAGCAATAACAAACACACAGACAAACTTTATAATATTAGTTATTTCTATTTTATTATAAATATAACTACATATATATAAATATATCTTTATATATGTCAAATACATAATCTTTCTTTAATGAGCAAATTATTAGATAAACATCACGTCTTTTATTTTATAACTTAAGTGGATAGACAGTTGTGTTTTTACTTTATAAGTAAGATTTATTTTAAATATATATAATCTGTCTGAACACCGAAATTGATTGTAGCGCCATCTACAACGTCCAATAATGAATCTAAATACATTAACTCGTCGAGTACCGGTTTTGTAGACACAATTATAGAACAATAGGTTGCGGTCACCGGTGACCGCTTGGTGTTTGACAGTTTAAATATTTTTACCAACCTTAAGTATAAGGAACCCATTAGCTAAGATCGATGGTATTGAACGACATTTTGGTTCTATAAGAGACAGCTAACAGTACAAGCAAGGAATCAGGGCCTCTAGCCAAACGCCACTTTAGCGCTTGTCTACAGAGAGAGTAGAAATCAAAATGTATGGAGATGACGCTGACAAGTGTCAAAATTTACGTCAATTCCATATAATTTTGTTTTCTATTCTACATGTAGACAAGCGCTAAATGGCATTTGGCTACAGCTGCTGATTATGTGCTACATCCTAAATCACACTGTGTAACTTTTAGTTGAAATTTGGGTTAGGGGTGGTTGGTTGGTGGTGGTTCAACACGGTCATAATAGGGTAGGCGACTAATGTTTATTTTAATGTCCGTCTGATAGATTATTTTAAAACATTAGACACGTATTTTTTGTTTTCTTACAGAAACGAATACTTTCGACGATATATTGATTTGAAATGTCGCGTGACGTCACTTCTATGTACATTTTATACGTAGAAATGACGTTTTAGCCCCCACTCCTAAACTTTGATTCGTTTTATCTAAGTATTGTTTTATTATACGACATAATAAAAAATACGTGTCTAATATTTTTTCATTACCTGACGTAATTAAAATAAAAATTAGGCATCTACCCTATTATGCTAAAGCGCGAATTAAAATTCAGTAGCATTTCAGTATTCGAGTGTATGATATTAAGTAAAAAAATATAAACCTTTCGCTTCGAGACTATAAAATTTAAGTATAATATATTAAAAGATGAAGGCAAGAAAAATATTGCAATTTTTAGATAGACAACATCTGAATATACTTTATATAATATTATAATAATTTATATTACATAACATAATATAGGGGGTGAGCCTATTGCCATATACCGGGCACAATTCCCGACTCCGTGTTACTACTGAGATTTTTTTAAACCCAGTAATACTTTGCCCAACCCTTGAATCGAACTCGAGACCCCTTGCCCGGCAGTCGCACTTGCGACCACTCGGCCAACGAGGCAGTCTGACTGCAACATTTGAATATATCCGTTAATATAATAATTTATATTATTGCTTAACAATTGTACATATTTTTAAATATGATAATACCCAACCCAAATAAATATATATTTTATTATTAACATTATGTTTAATATAATGTCGAAAATTCTTTTAAGCGAATTACATATAGTATAATTCTGACAGATTGTGTTACAAAATGAAATTTAAAAAGTAGATAGAAAATTAGGAAATTATTATTATAACGGTGTCATTTACCAGCCTTCTTACCGACGTATAAGTTTGTTATCACGCATCAAACACAATTCCTTTTTATATAACATAGATATAATATATAGTAATTATATAAAATATATTGTATAACTTATTTATCACTGATCCTCAATTCTGCTAGTTCCTGCTCCTCATCTACCTCGTCTTCATCATCAGAGCCGTGGACTGATGCGGCCGGGGTTGTACCTCCTGTAAAAAAGGGATTTTTAATATAATGTCATTTAATATAATAACTAGGTACTTGCCAACTAGTTGCCAAAAAGTTCTCATTGACAAATGTTATTATTCAACAACAGACTTTCTAATTGATAAATTTTAACATTATGTATTTCTTGACATTATTTTAACATTATGTATTTCTTGACATTGTTATTATTGTTTGTATTGAATTTGGAAACCTTAATTATACCTTAAATATTGAATCTGACAGCTTTTTCACCATATTTTGCATGCCAATAAACGGGCAAAATGTATACGGCTACTATATTATATCTGTAACAACCTATTTGTAAATACCTACATTTTATGCAAATAGAGGTAAATGATTTGATTTGATTTGATTCAAATTCAATACTTTTTTCGAACTGTCAAAAACGACAGTTTTCTATGAATTTTGTACGAGATTGTGTATTGTGACGTCACGTTTTTTTAGCGTCATACAGCATACTTATTTATTAAAAAATTTGCTGGAATAATACTAAAATTAAGTTGGTCATAAAATCAATTAATGATAGTATGATTATTTTTTTACATTTTATTGTATTGAAGTCGAAATAATTTATTTTTAATTTAGGCAACTACCCAATTAAGTTTATACAATATATTTGATTTCTCTGTTGGTGAAAAGAACATCGTATGAGATACTTATTATGTTTTTAGAAGAGAATTTAGTAATTCTAAAATATCTTGATATTTTGACGGTAACATATTCTATATATCAATTAATTTGCAACGAATTTAGTTACTATTTTCGACTATCTACAATATTTTTTGACAGTTGTATTAGGTATAAATCCGAACCCCAATAAAATACCACATGTGCCTCACGCGTGCATTATCAAAAAACAAAAACCTAGTGAAGAAAAAAACACGTGTCAGTAAGTATTGCCATACTAAAAAAACTCTAATCTACCACAAAAATAAACCTTTCTAATGTCCATCCGAATTGCGACCAAAAACCCGAACGAGATAAACCAAGATTCAGAGCGGCTATAGTTTCCATTTTCCCCGGATTCGTTGTTATTTTTAAGCTGGCAACCCACTCACCATCTGTCAACACCATTCAGACTATTATAGGCGTTGCGTCCTTGAAATAAGATTCGTTTTCACTTATTTCAAAGGCGTTTTGGTATTGACAGATGACGACACTATTAAACTAGATGATACAATACTATTAAAAGCTTGGTTCTTTACTAATAAATACTATAATGAATAAATTACTCCTTTTGGTTCCCAAAGGGAGTTAAAAGTATAACTGTACAAGCAATGGTACAGTGGCATTAAGTGCCTTAATGTGCACCTCTGCCTACCCCTTCGGGGGTAAAAGGTGTGATGTTATGTTATATAAAATACAACAAAAAATACGTTAACTAAAATCGCGGGTTACTCACGTGAATATACTGAGAAAAGCTCTACTAGTTTCGAAGAGTAGGCTGCGCGACGTCGCCGCGACCGCGCACACTGCTCATGAGGAAGAACCCCTCTGTGGTTCGAAACTAGTGAAGCTTTTCTCCGTATATTTACGTGAGTAACCTGCGATTTTCATTTAATTTAGTACGTCTCACGATAGTTATCATAAACAAAAATACGTGTCTAATATTTTTTTCATTATCTAACTGCCCTGCCAACAACCCCATTTCTAAATTACCAAAAAAAAACTACTTTCTATCGTACACACGGCCACACATCAATCTATACAAAACCAGTTTATCCTGGTATCGCGTCGCATCATCTTTCCGCAGATTTAACGTTCAGTTTATACTGGTTATGTAAAGCTCGATGTGTAGTACATTACCGTTCAAATACTACGAAAAACCGAACCGAACTGACCCTAACCTAATTCTGTATGTCGGCACAGTCCTGTAGTTTAGCGATAAGTTCATCGATTTGTTCAACCATAGCTTCGTTCAAGGGTTCTAGAAAATTCTCGTTCGGAGTTCGGTAATGTTCGTGCTCTGACTCGGCAAAGTTCGGCTTTTCGAAACTTATTTCGAGAGCTGGATCGGTACCATCATCAGATATATTTAGTATTTCTAAAGACTTCCGTATATTTATCTCGTTTTTCTTTGCAATTATATCTTCGTTTTGTGTTTCTTCATCGGAAGCTGAAGTCGATGATTTTCTTTCGCGACGTACTGGTGATGTGAATTATATTATCATCATCATATTTAACGAAGTATTTGACTGCCTTATTGACTGAGTCGCAAAGTGTGGCTGCCGGGCAAGGGGTCTCGGGTTCAATTCCCGGGTCGGGCAAACTACTGGATTTTTAAAATTCTCAGTAGTACCACTTTGACTGCCTCATTGGCCGAGTGGTCGCAAGTGTGACTGCCGGTCAAAGGGTCTCGGGTTCAATTCCCGGGTCGGGCAAAGTACTACTGGGTTTTTAAAATTCTCAGTAGTAGCACGGAGTCTGGAGTTGTGCCCAGAATATGGCCATAGGCTCACCCCCTATTACATGGGACTCATAACATAAATAGTAAAAAGTGGGTGTTACATTGTACAGTGGCATTAAGTGCCGTAATGTACACCTCTGCCTACCCCTTCGGGGGTAAAAGGCGTGAAGTTATAAGTTAAATAAATAAACTATCATCATCATATTCATCGAGATTACTCGACGAGTTTCAAGCCTCGACCGGGGTTTAAAAATCATGAGTAGAAACGCGAAAAAAATAATTGCAACTACTCAACGTGGTAATTCATATACCTCTATATAGCAAGATGAGCGAAAACTTATGTGGCTAATATCTCTTGTTTTATTGTTTAATATAAAAATCCAATCTAAAAGGTTCGCAATGCACTTGTAACGCCTCCAGTGTTGCGGGTGTCCATGGGCGACGCTCATTGCTTACCATCAGGTGATCCGTCTGCTCGTTTACCGTCAATTTCATTACACAAAACTCAAGGTTTGCTATAATCTCCATGCTTAGCAAGCGAGTTGGGGATCATAGTGTAAATCCCCGCGTTTGGCAAGCGAGTTGAGGATCACAGCTAAAATCCCCACGTCTGGCGAGTGATTTGGGGATCACCGTTACAATCCCAACATTTAGATTGCAACGTTTTCTATGGGATAAGCCGGCAAACGAGCTGTCGCCCATGGACACCTGGAACACCAGAGGCGTTAAAAGTGCGTTACCGGCCTTTTGGGGATTAGAAATTAGGGGGATAATTGAACCTCCGGTAACCTCACTCACACGAGAAAACATAACGCTAACGTTGCTTCACGTCGGTTTTCTGCTCGGCCGTGGTATCACTCCGGTCGAGCCGGCCCAGCAGTGCCGAAGTACCGTACGGCTCTCCTACACTTGTGACTTGGGGATCAAAGTCTAAATTACCAAAGCCAGACGACATGGGGATGGTCGTCAATAGATATATATAACTATACTAAGTGTGGGAGAGCTATGCTTCGGTACGATTGGGCCGGCTCGACCGGAGCGATACCACGGCCGAGCAGAAAACCGACGTGAAGCAACGCTTGCGTTGTGTTTCGTCGTGTGAGTGAGGTTACCGGAGGCCCAATTACCCTCCCCTTCCCCAATCTCCCCAATCCTCAGGGATTGATCCCCAACGATCCTCAAACTCCTAATCCCTAAAAAGGCCGGTAACGCACTTGTAACGCCTCTGGTGTTCCAGGTGTCCATGCGCGACGCCGATTGCTTACCATCAGGTGATCCGTGAGCTCGTTTATCGGCTGTTGCCATAAAAAAAATACTATTAAAAATATAAAATAACTTACTAGAATGAGTAGGGCTGGGTGGCTCTGAGATTGGCCTTGGGTAGTTGAATCTTTTGCCCAGTTCCTGGTCCATATGGTCGACGTAGTCCGGGTACACTATCTTTAAGGCTTCGGCGCGCGCCTGGCGGTAGTACTGGAATGAAAAGAACTTAATGTTAACAACAACATCTATATAGAACAATAAAATTTGAAGTGTCTGTTTGTAATATTAAAATAACCGGTTTTTACTACATGCATATGAATATACATACTAAAATAATATTTTTTTGAATTTTTGTCTGTCTGTCTGTCTGTTTGTACTGGCTAATCTCTAGAATGGCTGGACCTATTTTGCAAGATAATTTTGGCACGTAGCTGATGTACTAGGAGCCGCGGAAGACTTAACGGGTTACCGGGGCTCCAGCTCGAAGGGCAGAGGAGTAGGAACGGGGTGGTTTTTAGTCAATAAGAGTCTGACACTCCCTCTCGCCTCACCCAGGCGGGAGAAGTAACTGGATGATTTTTCCCATTAAAAAAAATCCCCGGGCGTTTCCTCCAGCCCCATCAGACACAGGTACCTCCCGAAACTTCCATGTCCGGTGAGGACCTGCGTCAGGCGGTAGGTGAGGACGCCGTAGCGTCTCTCAAGCCACTCCTCAAAGTGGGGACTTACCGCTGTAAGCCGCGGCAGCGAGCCCAAAAATGACAGAGATGGCAGGATATTTAAGTATCACTTAATTGCAGTATTTGAACGTATGACTTTTAGTTATCTAAGTCAAAAAAAAAGGTTTTATTGATATTTTTTCTAACTTTTTTAATTGTATACCTACTATTATTGTTAATTTTGTAAAAATGCCTAAAGAGGAGCGGGGTCTCCTAACACAAGCATATCATCATAAAAGGAGTCCCCAAGTACCGATCACCCAATGTAATCACAAATAACAATAATGAAAGGATTTTCATTTTCATTTTCAATTTCAATACTTACAATGCCCAAATTCCTCCAGTCGAGAAGATCTGACAACCTTTCAGTTCTATTTCTCTGGATAATACGTTGTCTTCGAGTTAGTCTGAAATATTATAAATTGTATAAATATTACAATCAAATTTCAGGGTGTGAGAGCCATGCTTCGGCAGGAATGGATCAGCTCGACCGGAGTGATACCACGGCCGAGCAGAAAACCGACGTGAAGCAACGCTTGCGTTGTGTTTCGTCGTGTGTGTATGGTTCACGTACAACGATTTGGTTGCTGACGATGCGACCTTAATTAGTATATAGTAATATTCACTGAACAATGAACTGTAGTTGACAAATTGCAATTGGCCCGTATTGGCAATCAACTTATACCTACTTTGTAACTTTTAGAAATAAACTATTTCTAGCGCTCAACCGTGGTTTTACCGTCAACTCGACCGAACTCTAATTATCTCTGAGCCATACAGTGTGAGTGAGGTTACCGGAGGCCCAATTACCCTCCCCTTCCCCAATCTCCCCAATCCCCGAATCCCCAACAATCCTCAAACTCCTAATCCCCAAAAGGCCGGTAACGAACTTGTGACGCTTCTGGTGTTCCAGGTGTCCATGGGCGACGCCGATTGCTTACCATCAGGTGATCGTTTATATGCCATAAAAATAACCTTAAAATAATTAAAGCGTATGTTTGAACATTACCCACATCATATATGACTAAAGTAATAATATACTTAAAACAACGAACAATTTAAACTCAACTTTAACGCGTTTCCAATAAAGCTCACATTCGCAAATCACTTTTTTAAATGTAACTATAACAATCTAGGATTTCCTCCTGTGTCGTGTGTGCGTTTACAAACATACAAGTTCACACACACAGACACGGAACTACAATCTGTGGAGCACACAAAGAGTTGCTCCGTGCGGGAATGGAACCCGCGACACGTTGCACGGCAGCCAGTTACCCAGCCACCACACCAACAGTCAAAACTTTGATCGTGCGAGAATCGAACACGCGACATTTTTCCACTGAAATGTTACACACACTCAAAAACTAACATTTGTACTATAGAAACATAATATAACACATAACATCACGCCTTTTATCCCCGAAGGGGTAGACAGAAGTGAACATTATGCCACTGTACAATGTAACACCCACTTTTCACTATTTATGTTATAAGTCCCATGTAATAGGGGGTGAGCATATTGCCATATACCGGGCACAATTCCAGACTCCGTGCTACTACGGAGAATTTATAAAAAACCCAGTAGTACTTTGCCCGACCCGGGAATCGAACCCGAGAACCCTTGCCCGGCAGTCGTACTTGCGACCACTCGGCCAACGAGGCAGTCTTTAGAAACAAACCAAATTAAACCTTAACCCGATACGAATAACGCTCAAAATCCTTACTTACTTTGTAAAATCGAACATGTACTGCGCAAGTTGTTGCACGGAGCCCTCTAGCGATATATATCGGCGGTCCACGACGTATATGCCGTACGACATCGGGTCCGCTATATGTTCCTGCATGAAGCAGCCGAAACCTGGAGACAAGAGTTGATAAGAGCTGTTAGAAGAGTTGTTAGGAAATAGGGAGAGCCGTCAAGTAGTGGGTTTTTTATACAAGATGTTGTTTTAAAGCCGCATCATTTTCTAGGAGGTAACTCGGCTATCGATTCTGAGACCGAATCAATAAAAGAAATAGGCATGGCGACTATTTTTAATTTTTTGTCCGTCTTTTAGATATTTTAAACATCTTCGATACGTATTTTTTCTTTTTTCTCGTATCCAAAAAAACATGTAGATATTTTGAGTTAAAATGACGCGTGACGTCACAATTAGGTACGATTTCTCCGTAAGTGTGACGTCAACACCCCCCACTCCCTAACTTTAATGCGAAATAACTACGTATTCTTCTGTTAATTTGATAA